ATCATTTTAGCATTAATTACCTTGGCCTAAGGCTTGCAATGAAGAATCTACAGATACTATTTACTAGGCCTATAAATAATAACTAGCCCAAGGGGAATATCTTTTGTTTACTTTCCCTTAACGTCATTTTTTAAATTGTTCTCTAAATCCTCCATTGTCTAAGTTCCCCTTAACGTACAGGTAATAATAATTAATAACAATAATAATAATAATAATCATTTCGGCATTACATTAACTTGGTCTAGCCTTGTAATCAAGAACTTGCCGATTACTATGCCTAATATTAATAAGTAGCTCATTTTTACATTCATTTGGTGCTCTGCCATATTTGGCACTGGTCTTATGGCATCCAGTATTTTAGAGCTGCCTATTCTCAGCTCTTCTCTTAATTTGAAAATAACTGTCACCCTGTTTCATTTGATGAAGAAAAACGCGCTTTTCCTTACTCTTTGTGCTTTTCCCAATAAGCGTCTTAGTAGACCTAGGTAATTAATTATGCAAAACCAAGGCCTAACTAAAAAATTAAAATTGTCATAGTATGTAACTCAAGTTAAAATAACACTTTTCATTACTCGTGCAGCTTAATCAAATATTATATGTCATTTTAAACAACCCGCCGGACCGATTTTTCCCCCCGGACCAAATTTTTCCTGACACCATTCATAATCAAAAGAGAAGTTTGAAAACCGCAGTACGTACCGTGTAAAGTCTACTTTTAAATAGTGGTGAACTTTTGGTTATAAAAAATACCTTTATGTACGTCCTATTTTGGTAAACTTTTAGTATGTTGTTTTACATATAATTAAGTTTATATTTAGATTATAAAACGTTTTGTTGCAACATGCCCAGTCAAATCCGTATTTCTGGTGGACTAATACTATAGCAGTAAGTTGCAGCATGGAGGTATAATACCTCCATGGTTGCAGTAAGGTCGATTATTTGATCATTGTGATGATGGCGCCGCCCTCTGTAGAACAAGCAACTTTTTTTTACGATCGATGTCAGACGAGATAATTATAACTCCATGGACGAGACGACTCGATCAAGAATCGCTGTTTTCGCAGCACAGGCGCGGAATTCAAAACTAAAAGAAAAGGTAGGCCTAGTTTGGCCTAGGATAGTCTCTAAAGATTCGATATTTATTATTAGTAATTTTGGTTTGCTAACTGCTACTAGACTAGGCCTCCGTTTTTTAACTACTGCCTTAGGACCTAGGCCTATGTTAGACTGGGTTGTGTTTAGGCTAGCCTAGGCCTACCCTAGCTTATGACCGGTTGAGCCGCCGACAAGTTGAGCCGCCGGTCATTTCTATGGAACGCCAAGCGCGTCTCTCAGTGAATGTAGTGCGTTAATTGCGGCGTATTTCAGTTAACTTATTCGTTCTAGGTACTGTTGTTTGGGATGTATTTCAGTTTATTTACTCAATTATTTCAATTTACTGTATTTAATACTCGGTTTTTGCACTGATTTATTAAATATTTATTGGGACGTATTTCAATTTATTTACTTGTTCTTTCTATCGTTTTAATTTAAATTCTGTGAGTATTTGCTCAGTCAGCTTGCCAGATAGTTAAAAAAAAAACTCCATACATTCTTATCATTTATTATATATAAGTTTAACAAATAGTACAAAAATAAAAATATATAAATTACAAAACCATAGTAAATACTGTATAATAACATAGGCCTAACACATTTAAATTTATTGTTTATAGT